TTCACAAAAGGCAAACATGTATTTCCTGTATGAGGAATAAAGTCCATCCTAAGCTCAAGACCTCAGCAAACAACATTTTTCTTTCCTACTCCTCTATAGAGAAGACTGCTAATTCACCTTTGGGTGGTTCCGGCCATCCACACCTAGCAGAAGTGAAAAATGCTATATTCCTATCTGTAGCTTTTCTCATGTTTAGCAGGTACTGATCACAAACATGAGTCCTTTTGATCCAAACTGAAGGTGGTAACCGAGTTGGTGATCAGGACAAAAAGAACCTGTTTGGTTTCTCTCCCAGACTGATCGCTACTTAAGTCCAATATGTGTATGGTGGAAATACTAGGGTAACAAGTATACTGTAAGGTATGAAACAAGTATTTTGTCTAGGGGAGGCATAAATTGATTGTTTCTTAAATAATATTCTTTTAGCGCAAAAATTCTTTTAGAAGGGAGGGCCTATATTAACTTAAGAGCATGTTTGGTCACCCTGGGATATTCTTGAGACAGAATTAACAGTTCAGACTGGCATGTTTTGTAAAAGTTGCAAAATGTCTCATCAAACATTGTACTAGAAATTTTGCATTTGCCAATAATTTCAAAACTTACAAAAAAACATTTGCTACATAGTAATCTGAAAGCTTTAGCTTTTTCCTCTTAAATGTCAAATGAACGTGCTTATCTGAAAACAAGCTGTGAGCAATATTGATGTGTTGAGCTTGTAAGGAGAGACTGCGCTAGCCAAATGTCTTGGCTGAAGAGAGAGGAGACAGAAGATTTCAAGTTCAAGTTGCCATTCCACCTACCAGAATTTGCAGCGTCAAACACTGGTGGAATTGTAAAGGGCGGGGGGTGGGGAGGTCTGGATATCACCTGTCTTTTATTGTATCACTGCATTGCAGCCAAGATGACAAATGCGCGCAGAGTCGTCTTCTAGCAAAACCAGTAGAATCCATGTCTCCAACCTGGTAATTCTTACTGATTCTGCAATACAGCCTCTCCTTCTTTGTTGTTGGTGGTGGGGTTTTTTTCTGCCCTGAAGTGCCTACCACAGGCTAGCATCAGCATAACATGTTTGGTTTCTTCAGTGAGTATAGTTAAACTGCAGGAGACGCCGCACAGTGAACAGAGTGGGCTAAATCCAGGTGTGTTCTCTAGCAAGCTGTGATCGTCTGAAACCAGTTCTTTGTGTATCTGATGGCCATTTTTTTGTGGCTTTTCTTTAAGCGCTGCTGTTTCTGACGTCTTTATGTGGATCACAAGTACCATATTTTATCCTAGATTTTTCTCATGTTTCCAATGAGAAAAGTAGGAGAACAGTGTGCTTGGAATACTGTTGAGGCAAGCTGCTGTTGATGTAAAAGCAGGTATTACTGAAAGGTCACTTGGACAAATATGAAACATACTGGAATGATTCAAATGTGACCCTTTCAAATTCACTCTCCCTTTTAGAGAGTTGATGAGAAACCGCGGTTTGATATGGTGAAGACACCATTGAATTACATTCTCTGAGGGAATTATATTAGAGAACTCCGTCTAAGGGTCCACCAGCGAGTGGGATGCTGGCCATCGTAGGCTTTTCCTTACAAGCCCTGGCTGCAGGGGAGGCATTTGCATCTAAGGTAGGACGACATCTTCAGTTCTGTCACTTTTAGCGTACTTGTCCTGACAGCTCCCTCACCGTTGGCAAAGGCATTCTGTGCTGTATCAAAGAGTATGGTAAGCAAAAAGAGAGAGCAAGCAAAGAGTTGAAAATAAACTTGGTGAGGACAAAAACCTCTTTGGCTGTTGAGCTGCAAGCAGACTTGTTTCTAGTCCTTGCTAGCAGAGCCAGGGAGTCTATAGGAGCGTACCAGTCAGTGGGGCTGTTCAGCCCAGGCCTAGGCACTGAATGGCTCAAACTTCCTGTTAGTGCAGTGAGACGAACAGACCTACCTGTTCAGGGAGCGGAGACAGGCAGGGAGGCCCATCCATAGAAAATGACTGTTACAGCACACTGGGGCGTGTATGTTTTGTTTTTGTGCTCGCTTCAACCTACTCTGTATCAGCAAGTATTGAAAATACTGTGATTGTCGCTAAGAAATAACAGCTCTTAAGCTTTCAGATCCCTCAAAATAAACTATTGCAAGCCAGAAATAGTATTGTAGTTACTGTAGTTATCGTAGGATAGTTGACATCGGCTGCAATCATAAACTGCGCTTTGGTATTTCTTACTGCTTTTTTTCTTCAAGAAAATATCCAACATGCACACAACACCTACACACACAAAATGACTTAAACGCCTAGTCTGAGGACAGAAGCCTGACGCAGGACAAGATTGCAACGTGAAAATTTCTCAAAATTTATGACATGTCTTAAGGTGGTAAAATTGTCCCTCTGTGAATGAGGCAAGGGGATATATAATTAGAAAAGAATAATTGAAACCACTTCAGAAGCCTCAGCTAATACTTCTTTCCCCTCTTACGACAACTGATTCATCTGCAGACTGTACTAGATAGATAACTATAAGTAAGTGCTACTCCTACTTAAGGTATATTATGTGAAGGGGGGGGCGTGAGATGTATAGGTCTCAGTGGTAACTGACCTCTTAGAATAGCGTCCTAAAATTAAAATGTCACAAGTTAGTCACACAATGAGCCTTTAAATGAGAACTTCTAGTTTAAATTTTCAGAGGGTAATTCTAGAGGAAGTTCTGGCACTTAGTGATTTGAATAGAAATTAAGGTAACATTCTTTTTAAACCTACCCCTTTACTGTGCCACGCATAGGAACCAAGCCACTTTTGGTACACTAGTTGTAGAAACTAGCACGTTTTCCAGAGTGTTAAATGCTTAACCTTTTGAGGCACTGGTTTTTTCCCCTTTTATTTGATCTCGTGTGGCTCTTCTTCATTGTAAATAGCCTTTTGGTTTTGGACGTTTCGGTTAAGGTCAGTACCTTAAGTTACTTTTATAATATCAATTCAAAGTACATCTATTCAGTACAACCTGAAGCACGGTCCAAGTTGTAGCTCACCAGAGCCCCAAGAGGACAACAAAGCAGTACTTTTAATGGATTAGCGTCTGGCAGATATACCAAGTTATGCGCTTGAATTGGACATAAATTAATTAAGCAGGTCTGCCTACATCTGGAGCAGTGACTGACTGACCATATTTATAAAAACATACTCTTCAACTTCACAGTATATGCTCACAGGACCCTGCATAAAATTCAGTTACACATCTAAAGAAGCTCCGAATAGCAGTTACTTTAACTGCAAACGCAAATCAGCGAGAGAACATTTTTTCATAATACCTAAAATATAGTTAGTTAGGTGTGCAGGTAAGAGGATCTTCTATCCCTAAAGAGCACCAAAGAGAACAGCTGCATATAGTTATTTATTATGATAATACTGAACACATTTACTACATTCATTTCTATCAATTTATTTTGTATATATAGACAGCTTTTTGTATGCTTTTTTTCTTAATCATAAAACTTTCATGAAATGTACTGAAAAAGCAAATTGCAGTTAATTTTAATGCTGATTAAAAGTGGTGTTTGACTGTTTTCTGCAGCCATTACTTGAATCTTGTTTCCATTTGGTCATAAAGTCTGATGTTTACAAGACGGCTTTCATTGATTTTAGGGCATTTCCCTTCCTCTGCAAAAAGAAATTGAAAGCACATGCTTAGCAGTCAAGCAAAGGTGTCGGGGATAAAGTATTGGGATCGCCTTCACTGGCACCACAGCATTAGTGGTGAAACGCAGATTCCCTTCTGTTTACACTATTTAGATAACAACTCACTCGCTCAGCATGTTCCTCTCTAACTTGACCTGCTGCATCGGCTTGAGCATTTTAAAAAACTTAAAATCTTTCTGAACTGTAAATATTTAGAATCATAAAAATAATCACAGAAAGAGGCAACACTCCCACTGTTAAAGCCTTGCCCCTTTTTTTAAACTTACATGAACTAAACATACCTGGTTATCTCTGCAGCTACATGTGTATTTGCTAGCAACGATCCTCATATGCATTAGCCAGTGTCCCAGCTTTTCTACGCCCATGTAGTTATTTTTAATTGTGATGCATAAACTTGTAATGAGCTGTATTTAAGTTTGAAGTGTAAAAGGTAAATACGTAATAATGACACACTTACTGTATTTTGTACATTGCAGATAGGACCATTCCTATGCATAAAGAAAACATGTTGCCATTTATAGTTTAATACTTGAAGTAACTTTTTAAAGTGGGCATTTATAAAGGAATTAAACATAAAGTCATATTACTTTGCCTGGAAGTTCCTTCATATTTTTAGTCATATTTTGCAATTTCTCCCTATGCATACTTTTCCAAAAATACTGTATTAAACCATTCATAACCATGGAGAGATTGCAACCCCAATTTTATACGTTGGTGATAAGACCTGTTCATATGTCTCCAAATTACAATTCATGTTTAAGAGAAAATTATACCATTTTATGCCCTCTTTTCCAAAGAGGTAAAATATTAATAGGTTTGACACTTGATTTCATCAGTGATGCAACATTGACTTAATGAAAGTATCGGAAATATTCTGAAAATTGCTTAGATCGTATGTGTGTATTAGACCAGTGGGAGAAACTGCCCACATAGGAAACATTCCACCGCTGGGGGAAATAATAGGACTTTCATTAGATTTTACACTCCAGCTGTGACAACCTAAGGATTACACTCACTCTTGACACATCTTCTAGGTCACTTAGTCTCAAGAGGAGAAGGGAGAAAGAAAGAAAGAAAGAAAAAGAAAGAAAGAAAGAAAAACCATGTGGCCAACTTTTCTTTCAGGAAGGTGTAAGCATTATTTAGAAAACAGACTGTGACTCAAAAAAAAGTCAACTGATCAAAATATCCCCCCCCCAAAGTTTAAAGAAATTGAGCATTTTATAATCTTCCATTAGTTCCAGCCTCATACACATACAGCTTTATAATTCCACTCATACTGATCCTTGCCTAAACTTGAGCCTAATGAAATGAGCAACACGTAATTAGCTTCAACTGGATCCCCAAGTATTAATTTTATTTACATAAAAGTATCCCTTCAGAAAGAAAAATGACCAGTAAGGGCCATTTCATCAGTACAAGCACATAATCTCTTTCAACACAGCAAGTATGTTCTCCTAGCTTTCAAAAATCAAATTCGTAAAGCTATAGATCTAGCACACATCATCACAGCACTTGGTAACTTGTACTGTTTTATGAGAAAAGTAGAACAGAGGATAGAGAGCCACAGAAAGGACTTCTTTTTCCAGTGAGCCAATAATAAGAAAACATCGTATTGTTTTGTAGGACTATTTTAATGCGCGATTTTGTATAACACTATGAAGGAATGGTTTTCAGAAAAGTCTCACTTATCATCCACCCTTCGTTATTATACTGAATACAAAACTACCATAACAGGCACACAGCAGATCTTGTGGTAGTGCACAACACATATCCAATACAAATATACTGTGTCATTCAAGATGTCCACTTTTTTGACACATTTAAGTGGTTCAAATGATCTCTGAAATATCTGTGCTCAGGAAACTTGGATGTCAGCAGGCTTCTGAAAGCTTCCCATTTTGCGAGTCTCCCTTCTACATTATGATTGTATTCCTGTTCCTTTGTCAGGTAGGGTCGACTCAGCCAGTATTCATTCTCTGCTTCAATTTCCAGCCTTCGGATCATTGCCTGCTTCATTGAAAGGGTAACCACTCTCGGTCGCCTATATTTTCCAATCCATTGTTTTCCAGGAATTCTCTTTCGGAGTAATGCTGTTGTTAAAAACATTATACCTTAAAATAAAAGCAACAAACATGTAAAGTACCCGTTACCTTAGAGGGACAAATGACAAATTTAAGAGGAAAAAAGAAAAATCTCCACATATTTATTCCACTGCCTTTTCTCTAGCTGTTACAAATCTTGACGTTCAGGACCTACCTGATGCTGACAACCACTGTGTACGGTACAATGACGGACATATTAGAAACTTATGACCAGAAAAGGGAAAAGAAATCTTAATTTAGCCAAAGTTTCACTTAACTATCCATATACTGAAATTACAGCATGTCATCCATATGTTATCAAAAATCCAAAGGATTCACTGTATTCCTTATTCAAATAGCTAATTACACTGTTAAAATCGGGAGTATTTCTGGTTTCATCTAGATTTAGGTTCTCATTATGGCCTTCCCTCAGTATTTAAGTTTCCAATTAGAGTCTCTCTCCATAAACTTACTAGCATGGACCACTACCCAAGTCTCATTTTCGAACCAGGGGAATGAGCCTTACAGAGAAGGACAATATCCTTTATGATACTAACTAGCATAGCCAGCAATCACTAATACAGTTTCCAACATAATCCACAGGTGTGAAGAAAGGGCAAGAAAGGCCAAGTTAAGTTTATAGTAGGCAAACAGCTGCTCTCTATTAACCTTTCCGTTCCTCCTAAACGACCTTAATTCCTAGATCTCAGTAGGTTCATCAAACTGTCGAGTCGCCCAAGCACGCTAACTTGGCCCTACTGCTGAAACCAGCCACCCCCGCCTTACCCCTTCCCGCGCTGCAACCCCGTGACGACCGTTCAACTCCCTGACCCGAGTTAAGCGGAAGCTTTGAGGCTCCCCGCGGTAACTGCCGGGCCGGTACCGACACCGCTCACTTCCCGGT